GAAATATTGGTTATTTATATAGCCGTCAAGCATTTCAGATGTATGTTCGGAGACAATGCTTTCACAGTATACGCAGACCACTGACCTCCTGGAAGTGATTGATGCGAAGCATGGGAACTACTCACCACGGAAAATGTAGCATTTGGGGTTGGTTTCGCAATTCACCCCTCACATAGTGTAAATTATTTAATACTGGATACCGGTTCGTAAACTTTCAAAAATTATGAATTTGACGGTGCCTGTAAGTTGTTATCCCTCATGTTAAACCCATTATATGAGGATAATATTTATTATCATCTAAACTTTGACACTCTAGGTCTGTGCAGGTTTACGTAAACCTATTCACTGGATTTTCCTTCTAGCTGACATTTCTATGCCTATCATTGTGATAGATTTGCTTAACCATTACGATCTACTCCTAGATGCTCGTCGACGACGACTAATAGATAACAGTACAGAGTTATCTATTGGCAACACCACTTACGCAGGTCCGAGTTTAGCCATAGTCAGAACTAAACACTCAGGCAATGCGCCCTATCCAGCAGTTTTAGAGAGGGATCCAGGGTTACAATAACTGAGGCATACTCTGCCGTGCATAACCAGAAATTTTACTCACCATGTCACAACTACAGGTTCACCAGTAGCATACAACGCATGCCGTCTAGCCCCAGATAAGCTCAAAACGGCTAAAAGTGAATCCGACCACATGCCTGGACTAGGCGTTGTCAAACCGTCACTGTCCTTGAACACAGCCATTGCATACGGTTCCCAAAAAGGATAGCAACGACTGGAGTCGGATCGTTGATTACCGACGGCTCAACGCCAGCCTGGTACTTCACATCTACGACTTTGCACTGAATGAGCATATTCTTCAAGACCGATCTAGTCAAAGCGAACAATCAGATACTTATGGCAGCAGAAGTTGCGAAAACGGCCACTATTACTATTATTACAGTACGAATTCCTGTGCATGCCTTTTGGTCTTTCGAATACAGCATGAACATTCCAACGCTTCATGGATGTCTTCCATGGTTTGGATTTTGTTCACATATACGTCGATGACCGTCTTATTGCGAATCCAGATAAGGAAACTTACCTTAAACACTTGGACCTCACATTTGGCAGATTGAGAAAGTATAATACCACCGTCGACTCACTGAAATGTGAAATAGGAGTCGAATCGCCCAGTTTCCTTGGTCATGCTGTTGACAACAAAGGAATACGCCTATCAACAGATAAAGCAGCTGTTATCATAAACTATCCAGAGCCTACCACTGCGGAGCAGCTTCGCACTTTCAGTGGCCTGGCAAGTTATTAGCTAAGTTCCATTCCCAGTCGTCTCTCTTTCGAGACCACTCACAGGCCTACGTCGAGGGACTACGAAGTGCATGACTCTGGACGTGGCTAGACTTGCTTTCTCTGAGGTCAAGGGAGCCATCTCTAATGCAACCATGCTTATGCATCACGACATCAGTGTTCCTTTGAGTATTGATGTTGATGGATCTGACTAAGCCAACTGTGCAGTTTCGCAACAGTTGACTGACAACCAGTGGCAGTTCTTCGACTTTTTCTTGAGGCGGCTGCAGGAGGCGGAAACAAGGTAAAGTACACTTGGTAGAGAACTCTTAGCTATGTACTGTTCTGTAAACTGTTTTCGACGTTCGGTGGAAGGTTGTGACTTCATCCTTTTCACAAACCACTTTCTCTCTTGGCTCAGCATCTGATAAGTACCCCCCACACATAAATCACGACAACTGGATGGCGTTTCCCACTCCATATCAGCAATCTGTCAAACATCTTGAGCAAATAACCTGGTGGCCGACGCACTATGTTGAATGGTTTCGATGAAAAGTATCGAAGGCGTTGGTCTTGTTGACTTAGCTCGTTTTCAAAAAAATGATCTTGACCTGAAACATGAATTGTCGTCCACGACTCTCAAGCTACAACAGTGTCCAGCAGAACCAGGTAAAGTTACGATTGTATGAGATATCTCTACAAGTGAACCATGCCCAATAGTTCCGAAGAGATGACTACGTAACATCTTCAATGCGTTGCACAAGCTGTATCATCCAGGTATACGAGCTACCATCAAGCTTTTCACACGTTTCTGCTGGCCTGGAATGAACAAAGACCTTAAAGAGTGAGCTCAATCATATGTAGCTTGTCAATAGTTTAAAGTTACACGAAAATTCCCAACCCCAGACATGTATTTATACCACGCCCATATAGATATCGCAGGACCCTTACAAGAAACTAATGAATACACTTACCTTTACACCTGCGTGGGTAGGTTTGTGAAATGGTCAGAAGTAGTACCTAGTAAGGATATTACTGCTGAAACTGTCACTTGCGTTTTCACCGAAAGATGGATCACAAACTTTGGATGCCCATCCTACATAACAACCGACCGTGGGTGCCGACTCAAGTGTGGATTATTTCACGCTTTAACTGCACTTTTAGTTTGTTCTCAGTTCCGAACAACGGCCTACCACCAACAAGCAAATGGCACGGTAAAACATTTCCATTGACAGCTGGAAGCTTCGCTTATGGCCGAAAACACGTCTCAGTGGACCGGGACTCTGCCTCTAGTCATAATGGGTATCCGAAAGGCGTTGAAAGCTGATGATAGATGCACTTCTGCAGAACTCGTCTATGGGACTACCAGGTGAGTTCGCTTCCCTTCACAAGTGCTTTTGACAGAGAACACCTTACGTGACTAGGCTTACAAACGCGATGCGTCCAGTTAGACCTACTCCTGATATCTTCGTTCACCCGTTTTACAAAAGACAAGACACGTTTTCCAACACCATGACGCCGTTTGTCAACCGCTTGGACCACCTAACGATGCAGCACTCAAGGTCACTAAGCGGCACGAAAAACGCTATATTATCAAGCGGAACGGACGTGAAAATACCGTTAGTATCGACCGTTTGAAACCAGCCTACTCCAAAGGTAACCCCACCATAAGCGACGTTTCTACCCACTATAGCCGGACAGTAGATGGCACATTTATCGAAATTCTCGACCAAGTGCCCGGAAATAAACAGATATAACAATCATCTGTACAACTAAAAACACAATTAGGTCAAACCGTCAGGTTCCCAGATTATCTAAACAAATGCTGAACTGAGTAGTGCGGGCAAAAACTTGTCAATTATGTTTTTCAAGGCACCATTTCTACTAGGAATAGGGGACTTTTCCTACATTTTGCCTTCTTAGTATCAATTTTTTATTGCCACCTGGTCATACATTCAAAAAAAAAATAGAATTAGGCATTAAATCTTTTTCCGATGTTTTTTATATGTATAGTATAGGTGTTTGCCATTTTCGTGGTATTAAAGACTTTTTTTCCATTTGGCGTGCAACAAGCACTGAACGGAACGTCAAGGCACACTGGAGATCGCGATTGGCTTATTATTCGACTGATTTTCTTTTTTCACGACACCCTAGAATTAGTCCAGGCAACCAAGGATCACTTTTTTCAGTGAGCCCATCGAGAGAGTTTTACTAATCGTGTGTCCACTGGGTTTCTACTTCCATCTGGTGTCGTCCTAGGGTCCTCATGAACTCTCACTACGGGGGGGGGGAGTGATCTGTAATGGCATATAACTCCTCAAAATCAATAGCCCAGGGTTCGACGAGATTCAACATTGTTGCTGACCTTCACGGTTTTATCGGACTCCCCAGGATGAAGGCACAGGCAGGTATCTACGCAATTTGGCACGTTGTCATCTCGTTACACTGCTGGTAATCGGTCCTCTAGCCAGCATCGATATTTTGGCACGACCTCTCAAATATACTATTCCATTTGATTATGCCATTGTGTTCTTCATTGGTCTCGCATTCATCAATATATTACAAGTATGAATGATTGATTAGCGACTGACCTCTGCGCTTGTCGAGTCCATACAAGGATAATTCAAAAAATCTCCTGTCTTCATATTGACTGACGCCAGTTGATCAGATGTTCTTGTGATATTGATAAAAACGACAATACTGCAAGAACCCTAGTGCAAATACTGGTATCAGATACAGGCCTGATAACTTGTCGAAGAAAAGGAACCACTAAAAGGGAAAAGAATATATTGGCTTTCGTGATCACTGAGAAGACTGTTGGAAATAAGAAACTGCTGTAAGGGTGAATACAGTAGGCTTGGCAGACATTTTCAAACTGAAAAATAATCCCCTCTGGTCGGTGCTTGGTGTAAATTGAATATCACTTATCGAAAGTATGATTCAGCCCTGAATCTTATAGTCTCACTACTGAAGTAATTCAAAAATTCAAAGAAATTACGTTTTACACTGCGCTACATGAAGCTGGATAGGTATATTAGCTTTATAACAGTGTTCAATCAATAAATCCAAGCATCTGTGCGTAGTCTGAACTGAATGAGGCATTGAAAAATATGGCGGAAGCTTCGAAGGTTTAGAAGGATTTAGGATGTCTTCAGAGAATCTAAACATTATTCTTGCACAGCCCCACAAAAAGTGGAAATGGAATTGCTTAATATAATAATAAGGATGTATTGATTACGGTATCGGAAACATTTATTACACAGTAGTTCTATACAAGACTATTTGATACAGAAGAAGTGGTTGCGATCCACATATTACCCGAAAGATTCCGAAAAAGTTAGCGAAAATAAGTATACCACCTCAAGCAAGAAATATAGTGCTTTGGCACACATTCAGAGCAATAAATTAAGATTTAAGTTAGTGAGCAACTCGTTATTCATTCAAAAATAGGTTGATGCAATAAATTCGACTCAGTGAGTGGGTTAAGAGATAAGACCAAGGTCAATCAGACATCCTTATGAGTGTCGCCCAATAAAACTAGGAAACATTTCTGGATGTGCCCCAACTTTCAGGCTCATTTCACTGTAACGAAACATTTACTAGCTAAACCTAGGAACAACAGACATAACTAAGGTCAAAGCCAAGACATAACTAACGAACATTTCCTGTATGTCATTACAGTCAAAAATTATAAAATACGAGTATAGTTAAAAATCAATTTCATTTAAAATACTGCACATCTAAACTCCCCAAAACCACGACCTACAGCGACAGTAATAATGATAATAATTATGTCTCATTACTTGTATATGTAGCAAAATAAGTCAAATAAACAAAAACTGACTGAGAATAGACTTGATCAAAGCTAGCAATTTCTAGCTTTCGAAGTGTAAGAGAACTGGTAACAACTTTTAGAAAAAACGTATTATCAGTAGCACATAGTTATCAATGTAATACAAACGTGGTGATGATTCTCATCAGCATACTAGCAATATGCTTAAGTGGAATAACGAATTATTTGTTTATTTACTATTGTGTGTTGCTGCTATTTTTGTTAGTTCAAAACAAAAGATATATTATGAGAGACAGAATGATATGCTCGAAAAATAGTTATAGAGATACAGGCGATATAACCAGTCTATCTTCTTAACCATGAACTTCATGAATACACCGTAGCAAAGACAAACAAGAGATAACAGCAACAATAAGTGTTCATAGAATATTAGAAGGTAGAAATGTTATCCATCAAGTGAAACACACCATATTTCTATCAGAGTCAATAGTAAAAGAGACAAAAAATCATGGAATAATTTATCATTATTATCGCTAAAAAATGATGTGATGGAATGAATTTATAAATGAGATTTATTTTGTAAAGCTGTGTGAACCTCTTGAACTAAACGTCGACGTTTCTCCTCTTCTGACGCCGGTACAACAGAACGTAATGAATCTACAATATTTTTTGTAGTCCCAAAGTATACTTCATTCAATGTTGAGCGGATCGAGTTCTCAACATCCTAAAAAAATTCAAGCAACAGTTATAGAAACATTTTGAATCCTACCGAAGTTTTACAAAAATGAATAAGTTATGAGATTTAACAATAACACATTTCTTCTACGTCGAAAGTTTTCTCAAATGAGATTGATCATAACTTATGTCCGATCGAAATCTTCACTCTTCAAAAAGAAAACGTCGTTGGAGGAATCTTGACTCACCGAAAATATTTGTTTTCCTGTGGTAGTAGTACACGGTCCACTAATAGAGTACTGGTTTATACACTAACTTATCGATGTCCAATGTGTCACGACAAAATCTACTGGTAAATTGACCTGACTGGGACAGATGAGATGAAACTGGGACATTATATTCGTCAGTTGGATGTTAAAATTAGACTCCCTATAGCATTGTAAGTGTGACTCAGTAATCCCTAACAGAGCTGTGGATTGTTCTTATTCTATGAACATTGTCAACACTACTGTAATAAGAGATACCTATAAGAATGTATATGATTAGTATATACAGCAATATCGAAAGTGATAGCGATTGACAAGTGAGGAATGGGGTAAAAAGAATACACACTGCTGGATAGAAATTTAAAGAGCAAGAAGAGTGTGGGAAAGAGATGAAAAACAATAAACCATTTACAAATGGATGTCATATCGTAAGGTTTAGTGTTTCTATCATTATCAGTTTTATTTTCTGAACAAACAACATCTATTGCCTTACTGAACTAATAACTATTAAAACGTCAAAAAAAAAGTTGATATGGACACGCTTTAGCTCACGAATGTCATTACCGAGGAGGTACAACTGAGGCTCATTGGTTTATAGACATGACTATCAATCATTGGGTCACGGGTTCAAGTTCCACTCCACCTACCAATGTTTGAGCAACCCTCACACAATAGGTGTGGCTCATTGTCTACTGCATGGAAGTGCACAAGGCGGCTGAGTGCTTTTTGTCCACTTAGTTTTGTTTTACAACTAATCATGTACTTATCACGATCATTTTACCTGTAATGCATTGCTTTTGTGCTCGATAGTTACTACGTTCGTATGAAATAAATAAGTAGTATAAATAAGATATCAATGCAAACTACTAAGCTTTACCACGCTGCATTTTATGTTGGTTATCACGGTTAGACAGCAGAGAATTAAAGTAAGCACCTGCATCACTGTCAGTGTGAAGTAAGAATGAAACAACTGAACGTAAGCCACCTTTGATAGCCTGCCTTAGTTTTCCTTTAAAAACAAAAATATTCACACCTTGAATCACGATTTGCTCAACACCAAGGATAAAATAGAATAAGTAGGAAAAGTTGTTACCGCAAGCTTCAAATTTGAAGAAAAATATGAAATCTAGTCAACCATGTGTATAATTTCATAAAATGGATGATGTTTTCTTTTGATTGCATCCAGCGACCTTGTGCACATTCGTGCAGTGAACAATGAGCCACACATTGCGTGAGGGTTCATGATACTACCTGGCTGCCCAAACCTAGGTTGATAGTCATTTCCCTAAGCCAATGAGCCACAGCTTCAGATTTCGATTACAGAAAAGCATAAATACTAAGAATAAGAGTTAGAACGATAGTTTAAAAAGTGATGAAGTACTATTAAAGCACATAAATATCCAGTCTTTATTTCCTACTTTATGTATGAAGTACACAAGAATATGAAAACTTATTGTGGCAACAGTAGCTTTAAAAGGAGAAAACTTTGGATTTCATATGCAGAATACACTTTTGTAACCATCAGAACTTAGGAGTTGGAAAATGGCTGTAAGTCATTCAACTCACTCATCAGATCCCTACAACCTAAAACAATTTATACAAAATGTTTACATACTCAAATCAATTTGGTAGAAGATTGTCACTTTGAATTGAAGATAACATCGATGAGAAGTAATTGAAAACACAGATTGAGTAAATAAATATGCAGAACTAAGTTTGTCAATATATAAAAGGATAAAACGAATATTCCAGAGCGGAAGTTGGACAAGTGGGGGAAACAATTATAATATTGAATGTATCAATGAAGTTTTCCATTTTAGTTGATTTATTAGATGTATCATATAGTGGATCAGTATTGTTTACTGTGTGATACATCGAGTAGATCAACTAAAATGGAAGTATATTCTTCCACAGTGCTCAGAAAAAAATACCAACTTGTGTGTTGCACACCCTTGACCTAATTATCTGAATCCTACTCACATTATTTAGTTACCATAAATCTTATGACCTATTACTCATTTCCTAATATCAGAAAAAATTCCCTTTGAGACATTCAAAAACAGTACTTTAATCAGATAATTGATTATAATTAGTATTCTTTTTTGACCTGTTTATTTTTTAACGTATTAGTCATCACGTACTGCCTATTTCCTTTATAAACACAATCCTTTTCTAAGTCTACAATCGACTTAAAATTTCACCCTAGAACATTGTTTCGATGGCCTACTGTTGACCTATCAGCCAATAATAGACTAATCTATAACCTATAAATACGATTGTACAGCTGGTGAAAATGATTCATAGGAAAGAAAATTTTCTTAATAGTATTATGAGTGAAACTTGAGCACTGTGGTAGAACGTAATTCCATTTTAGTTGATTTACTCGATGTATCATACAATAAACAATACTGATCCACTATATGATACATCTAATAAACTTTCTTGATACATTCAATATTATAATTGTTTCCCCCACTTGTCCAACTTCCGCTCTGGAATATTCGTTTTATCCTTTTATATATTGACAAACTTAGTTCTGCATATTTATTTACTCAATCTGTGTTTTCAATTACTTCTCATCGATGTTATCTTCAATTCAAAGTGACAATCTTCTACCAAATTGATTTGAGTATGTAAACATTTTGTATAAATTGTTTTAGGTTGTAGGGATCTGATGAGTGAGTTGAATGACTTACAGCTGATGAGAGATCACGAGAAAAAATGGATCCACGCTATTTTCTAAAAACTTCTGTTCTCGTCCTATAAAAACAAATCTACTGTCATTTACGAAATCACTATATCAGACAGAGTGACTATCCTCTTCATATTTGTCAGCACGAGCATCAACTAGCAGTGAAGCGCCACAATATAACTTTGCTAATATCAATGCATATAACCAATCATAGACATGAATTCAACAGTGAAAAAGTGGAAATCTTAGATAGAGGAGATACAAATAACCTTCATTTTTTTTTATACTCAGGTCAGTTAGAAATCATACTAACATTGACTTAGTCAATCAACCGATGAGAAATACGAAAAAGAACTAGAAGGTCAGAGTTCAGGCCAGCACGATAGCCAATCGGAATGTATGTATAGACAATAACAACACTACAGCAGAAAAATCCGATTACACCTGAGGTCATCAGAAAACGCTAATAGTATCTCTAAAGTTCATGCTAATGATCTTTTCTAAAATGATAATGGGAACCTCATAGCTAATCCATAACAGTTCAGAGAAAGCATTAATGTATGTGTCAGTTGGCAGAAACCGATAGAAAAACATAAATGAATATGCTAAAATTCCTTCCAAGGTATGGATTACCAATATTATGAATAAAGCTTACTTCTACCATACGTCCAATATTAACAATGTGCGATGTAGTTATTGGAACACCTGCATCCCCCAAAGGCAGTTCACGTTCACAAAATCGTGATAAACTTCCACCTAAATTGAAATAACCAGCCGCTTCTCGTTGAGTTTGAAGCCATAACATAACTGTGCTTGTAAGTTTATACAAGGATATTTTAGCAGACGGTCTTTCCTACAACGAAAAGGATTTGGATAGGAATGGTTTTGAGGAATCACTCTTCACCAAAGATAGATGAGTGAATGATGTACAAATTAAAAGCAATGAAATAAAAATAAACGTAAGTGAATCGAAGGAAAATGCTGGGAAAACCTAAGCACCACAGTTTTTTTTGATTATACACATGATATATCAGGTTTGACTAAACTTGAAGAAACCTCTTGAAATGTAAGTTCCATAGGATCTAGTATATGCCATGTAGTTCAGATATAAAAAGCAACATCCATCTGTTTTACTCCTGAAGTCTAAAACAACTATCCAGCCCAAGAAAACAAGACACATGATGCAGAAGAACTGTATACAACAAGAGAAGAAAGAACAACTTTTGTGATAACTGTGCATTCATACAATCCATTCATGTGTACAAAGTCTACCCTGATAACGGATGATGCGTTACCTGGAAAATCAAATTATATCTGCAAGTTTACACAAAGTAAATGTTTAAATCAGCAAATTCTGTTAACTTTTTCGTCAAATCTGACTTTCGCGATATTTACCTAATCAGGCATCATCACCTGAGTTTTACGACCAGCATTCGTAGATTACCTGCTGATCAAACCTATGCAATGACAGCGAGATCACTTGAAGATAACTGGGACGGTGTGGGCAACCAGGAAGTATCAATCGCCCTCACAACTCTGTCAGCACTCAAGTCTCCTCAGACTGCTATCCACCTACCCCCTCATTACCTCCTAATCTTCCTTCACGTCTCCCAATTAACAATACTAGATCATCTTCGATTTCTCCTACTTCTACAGCCTTCGACAACGATCTGTATCCACAAAACAGCATCCTTGGTCTCCTTAAACCACGCTACAAATTACATATTGGAGCCTTCAATGTCCGCACCCTCCGTCAAGTTGGTCAACAGGCTTCATTGATGAAGACTCTAGCAGCTCGAAGCATGGATGTGTGTTGTGTTTGTGAGACACGGAGACAGGACACAAGTAAGGTTACTCACCTAACATCTCCCGACCAATCTGGTGAATCCGCAAAATTCACCCTCCGAGTTTCTGGAGATCGGAGTCTTGCAGGTGTAGGTATAGCATTAAGCACGAAGACAGAAAACTCACTACTAGACTGGATCCCAGTTGATAGTCGCCTCTGAGCTATGCGGCTGAACGGCATGGTGAAGCTTAAAAGGAATAGTGAAACTCACTGCTGTCTCTTTGTAATCTCTGCTTACACACCCACTGACTGCAGCTCCGATGAAGTGAAGGACGAGTTCTACCATAAACTGTCTAGCCTCCTCCGAAAGCTGAAAGTTCAGACCTGGTGGTTGTTGCCGGTGATTTCAACACACAGGTGGGTAGACTGAGTGAGGCAGAAAGCCACATAAGTGGTATTTTCCGAGTACCGGCTGAACGAACAGATAACAGTGATCGCCAACTACAACTGTGCTCAGATAACCACTTATTTTTAAGTAGCACAAATTTAAAACATAAAGAAAGACACTGTCTGACGTGGCGTACACCAAACTCAACTCAGCCATGGACACAGATAGACCACATTGCTACTAGTCATCGCTGGAGAGGATCGGTGATAGACTCCACTCCTTCTGGAGTACATGATTGGATAGCGACCATGCATTGGTCACAGCACGTATATGTCTGCGTCTCAATGGACCTAGGAAATATTTGGCAACAAAACCACTACTAATGCCGCTGGACAACGAAAACACCAAAGCCGTGTTCAGTGAGAAGTTGGATAGGTAGTTATCGGAACAAATGACTATCACTCATCCAGAAAAAACTTGGTGCCATCTCCAGTCCACTGTAAAAGCAGCGCTGAAGACCGTAGCAGACTCCGAAAGAGTCGCCAAAAAGAGCCAGCAGCAGCAGCTTCTTCAAAACTAATAAATACACGTAAACGCATCCCTGCAGGCCCCGAGTACAACGAACAGCAAGCACAGCTTAAAAGTCTACGCAACGACCACGAACAGTGGTGGGCAGCGAAGGCTAAAGAGATAGAAAAGGCAGCGGCGACTGGTAACAGTAGACAGTTATTTAGACTTATTAAGGAGACTAGGGGTGGGAAAGGTCAACAACAGTTAGTGGGCTATAGCAGAGAAGGACGGATCTGTGATTCACTCGCAGGGGAGACGACTCGAACGATAGGCAAAACACTGCGAGGAACAGTTTAACTCACCTCCAGACACCATTGCATTGCCTGCTATCCAGTCGGATCCCAAATGGAACATTGAGTGAGGCGCCCCAACACTAGGAGAAGTCGAGAAAGCAGTAAGTAACCTGAAACGAAGAAGGGCGGTAGCACCAGACAAACTAACTCCAGAGGTACACAAGGATGATGGTAAGGTGGTCTTAGTCAGGTTAACAGAAGTGTTAACCAGTATACGGGAATCAAATACGGTCCCCTCTGACTGGTCTAAGTCACTCATCATCCCAGTCTTCAAGAAAGGCGAGAAGTCCTCTTGTGATAACCACAACAGAAGAATCAGCCTGACGAACATAGTGTCTAAGATCCAAGGTTCTATAATTCTTCGACGCCTGATTGGAGCTCGGGAACAACAAACCCGAAAAAACCAAGCAGGCTTTAGACCTGGCCGCGGATGTATCGACCAAATATTCACACTGCGCCAGGTCCTGGAACGTAGACACGCTTACCGACGCCCGACAATAGCTGTACTTCTCGACCTAAAGGCGGCATTCCACTCCGTTGATTGACAAGTCTTATGGCAATGTCTCTCACTGAAAGGCGTGCCGAGTATGTACATCACCTTATTGAAGGCTCTACTCGAACACTTGGGGGCGTGCTACAGCCCATGGTGAGATGTCCAGGGAGCCATGCTCATTAAGTGGTGTCCGTCAAGGGTGTCCACTCTCTCCATTCTTATTCAATTTGACCATAGATATTCGTATGGAGGTCTCCATCTCGTCACCTGACTACACAGAGGTTGACCTAATCGCAGGAGAATTTTCGTTAGACCTAGAATATGCAGATGACATTGTCCTGTTAAGTGAAGACGCTGACAAGATGCAGAGTCTTCTGAACACTTTGAGTGGCAATTTGAGGATGTTTGGGATGCGTTTCTTACACCCAAATCCAAATTGTTGCTACAGGATTGGTCTTCAACGGTGCCCCACCGCGGCTAACAATAGAGAGTGTAGTAGTGGAGTCTGTCGACCACTTCACTTAACTGGGAAGTAGGATTAGCCGATGAAATCTCTGCACGGATACAAAAGGCTCGATTGACTGTCGCCAACTTACGCCACCTCTGGCGCCACCGTGAAATCCGATTGTCTACTAAGGTCACGTGTACTGCACAGCAGTCCAGTTTGTTCTACTGTATGACTGTGAAACATGGCCATTGAAGGTGGAAGACATGAGAAGGCTGGCTTCAAGTGTTTGACCACCCTTGCCTTCGTACCATAGGCCGTATGCCGTGGTGTCACCATGTGAGTAACGCAGAAGTCGGGAGTAGAGTTTTAGGGAGAACAGGTAAGTCGGTTGACGAGCTTGTGAACCTTCATCGATTGAGATGGTTGGGACACGTGTTACGTATGCCTAGTCGCCACTTGCCACGTCACACAATGTTGGCTGAAGTAGGTTTAGGCTGGAAAAAGGACAGAGGTGGCCAGACTAAAACATGACACAATGTATGAAGTCTCTGACTGTTAGTTTGAGCCATGTGGGGCGATGCAGACTAGGTGGTTGAAGCCTGCTGGACAAGAGAAACCAGTGGTTGAAGACTCTAGGTGATATGGCTCAGATGTATACATACATTATCCTCATATAACGACGCTATACCGAATCTCACCACTTTCTCATTCTTCCTTTCTCTCTTTTCGTACTTCATATTTTTTCTGACTGCACTCTTATCTTCATCTTGCGCCTCACTGACTTTTTACTTGATGTACTGATATGAGGTGTGGCAACTCGGACCGTTACGCAGTAATGCCTGGTCCTAGGTTGATCTCGATGGATGGATGATGAGACATGTTAGGCTTAGCTAATTCGCACCTGACTACTGTAGTAAGGTGGAAGAATATTCAACTTTGTCAAATCAAAGTATATCACAGATAGTTGATCTGAGGAACTGCAGACGCTTTGGTCGGAACTCATAAAGAGACATCAGAGCAAGGGAATATTGATTGAAATCAATAGTACTAGTTTAAGTGCTGCTTTCAAGCATGTTAGGAATATGGAGCAGCATATAGTCTTCATACGTGTGCTACATTTATTACATGGGGCCACGTGATCCTCTTCGATTGCCCAAGTCAAAGTAGGAGGGCGGGTTTTAAACCATGAGCCCACTGCTTTGAAATCGAGTGGTTGAGATAACGAGTTAGACCTTAGTGTTAGGTTTATGTGTATTGTGTGCATATAAAACATTAGTTACAAATATACTAGCGTACATATATTATCGAACCAATATTATTCGCTCACAGTTATTTTACCTAGTATAAAAGGTTGATTTAGATTTTTGACCTCTCTCTTCTCGAAAAAACGATACAGCAGTGTACCAGCTATTTTGAAAACATCTATCGCATTTTTATAGTAATGAATCAGTAACTTAAGAAAGTGAGCATACAAATACATCCGCGTTGTATCCGCAACCAGAAAGAATGAGAGCAACGACCAATTAATTACGAATGCCTTCACATCTTTATCTTTGTTCCTATTCACTGGCATTCTGATTTAGTCGCCAACGCCTTAAGGCATTGTACTCTTCCCATATTTTGCTAGATGCAATATCATTGTGCACTGTGTAAGTGAACAGCCTCACTTCGTCTTTTGAGTTAGCTGGTGTGACATTAGTGGCCAAAAACAGTAGTGCAGGGAGTAATACTAGTTAGGACCAGCGATGAGCATTTCCCTCAGTCTGTTGATCACAGGACCTAACAGGAAACCCAAACTAAGCGTAAGACCAGAACGCCGACCAAACCTATAAAGCGACGGATATAACAACCCAGGATTGGGTATTGTAACTCTAGGAGGTCTTTATATTATAATAGACATTACATCCTTCAAAAACTTTGAACGTTTTCATAAATGAAAAAACCACGGTTGTCTGTACGCCATTTCTCGTTACTTGGGTCGGCTATTTTAATTATTTTCATCTTTTAAAACAGGTTACTTCATTTAGATACTGAAATTACGTCATACATCCCTTTGAATTTTATGATCCAACACCACTGTTTTCTTCTATACTTGTGATACTGTAAAAGCATTTATGAATAAGAAAGTGATTGCAATCAACACATGTTATCACGGTTATCGCTGACGAAGACAAATGACAAAAGTTACAATGAACATGCAGTAAACACCAAAGTAAACTATACAATAATCCTTACACTTTTCTAGGTAAATATATGTCAATCGAAAACAAGACAGTAGCCTCACAAGAATCCTAGAGAAATCGTAATGCTCACCAAACACCTTAGGTCACAATATATTTACTTATTTCGGTCACAGAAATATCTGTTCTTGTTTTGAATTCGCATTTACCTTGTTTCCTGTGAACGTTTATATCCCTATGATGCGCAGACAATGGTTTCGATTGGCGAAGGTGGTGACGAAACCTGGAGATTTCTGAATACCCTGAGCGGCGATTTGAAAAATGCTAAGTGTGCTTTTTTCTACATTCCGAATGTGAATTCTCATTTTAAGACTGGTGTGCATCGACACAGTCCAACAATATGCATCAAAGTGAATAGAAATGTTCGTCATTTCACTTGGCAATCTGTACTAGTATAAGTGGATGGTTGGTGGATGAAACCTCGACATGGATATAAAAGAATGGATTGAAATTAACTAAACTACACCATTTAGATCAAATCAAGGCATTCAAATAAGTGTGCTCTATTTGTTAACCACTCATCTGATTAGTATTCATTTGTACTTCCAATCCATGAGTTCTCATGATTTCACTCGTCCGACCTGTGACAATTAGGCTAATAACAAATGATAACGCAAACGTTGGCTACGCATAAATGTCGGACTCAAAAGTAGCCTGACTGAAAATGGGTGGAACTAAGCACTTAGATTTCTTAGGTTCACTAGTTACTTTCTTTGAAAAACAGCAGGAAGAATCCAAATTCTCACCTATATTGAAGGAAAAGAAGTACAAAGGAGTGGAAGTCATCATTCAATTAGATAAGGTATGCAAGACAATAGTCCATTAGTAACCGTAATACATGTTCCCTAAAACAGAATAGTGAGCTATTAAAATACTTTGAGTGTGTTACAGAAATACAAATAAGATGGTACGTTATTCTGGAAAGCTAAGTCCTTGCTGAGGAATGAAACAGTTATTTTGTAATGCTCCTTATGATAAGTGAAACAACAACGTCTTGCTGTATCAGGGAGAGCAGAGATGACTACTCAAAAATGTGAATGTGTATTGATAAATTCAAACATTGAATGTTGCTTATAATAACTCAACATTCACAGTGAATGGCTAGTACAAAAAGTAACAGTGGAGTGTTTAAGAACATATAGTCTTAGCACATAACCACATACTACAAACTTACAACAACATCAATGACATGTATTGAATCCCAACAACCGCTAGCAAGTTTAGCATCACCAGCTTTTTTTATCAGGATGACTCCAGCAAATCCATGATCCATATCCCACAGATAAACTGAGGATATTCCGCCTTCATAATACCTAGTTTCGTAATTAGAAATACAACTACGTAACAGTACTGATATATACAAAGAACTCTGAAGAAAAGTAACCAATAGTATGCATTAAAATAAAAAACATGGTAAAATAAAGTACAAATACGGTACATTAAGAAATTATTTATCAATATAAACAAGGACAGGAATATATAACTGATGGACTAGAAACTCCTGACAAATTTAGAAGTAGTCCTTACTTATCACATGTAGTATGCTGGGTTTGTCCTTTTCTAGAACTCTTCAGTAGAACAGACCTTTACATTCCTTTTTAATAGCTACATCAGATGTCCGGTTATTAAGTATGAAGTAATAACTCTTCAGAGATTCTTGATGTTCAGTAGTGATTCCATTGATTCCTGCGGTATGAAATATTTTCATGATTTCAAGGTCACAAGTATCATTGAAAAAACGATGCGTGCAAGGATGCAGATCGATATCACATTTCTTTTTAATTATTTTCAGTTATTTCCAACCAATATTTAATATTTTTAGTTTGACCCAATGTTAGATGCCAAAGTATGATATCTAGACCTAAGCGAAGTGATACATGCACTTGAGAGCGGAATTAGAAATAAAAACAGCTTTATCAAAATAATATCAACGCAACAACCATTGAATATGTTACTTCCGCACGGAAAGTCGACTGATTTACAGTTAAGTTAGAGAATAGAGAGACAAAATCGACGACTTACCAAAATATTTCAAACAATCCTGGATGTTGACCATCAGGATATTTGCAATGAAAAACGATCAGGTATTATATTCATACTCCTATAACCTTATACTGAACCCACATTCAACACAAATACAGCGCAAAGAGTCACTCTTGACTAGCTTATCCATACTTTAGCTAACACAGTGTGTCAGGGTTGACGATCACTAGACATGCGAGTATATATCTCAGCCACCTTGGTCAATGAAGGTTTACAATTTAATTTCACCTAAAAGTCCAACTCTAACCATTACAATGCTACCGTGATGGTCCCATGAAATACAGGGAAAATTATGGTGGCGACAGAGATGAAATAATTGAAGCCTTTTCATTTTCTACACCTTTAAAGGTCACCCGAACACACTCAATCGATTCACTCTATATTTTTAAAAAAGGTAGCAATGCAGACTGGTAATACCATCTGGGAGATGAAAAGCATAATCCAAACATCCTCAAAAATGCAGTGGTATATCAGGAAGAAACGTCAGTCGAAGAAGTTGTGCACTTAAAGTGATTGGTGTGGCAAAGTCACATATTATACATGCCCAATTATTGCAGTGGAGGTGTGGCTCGCTGGTTTAGGGAGATGATTTTCAACCAATGAGTCATGGGTTCAAGCCCCGCTCCACCTACCGAAGTTCGTGCAGCCAGGTAGTATCATCAGGTAGTAGCCACACAATAGATGTGGCTTACTGCCCATTGCACAAATGTGCACAAGGTTGATGAGTGCATTTCACTCTAATTCACCAGTTATTATGAGACGTTATGTTGAGTAGAACTAAGTTACAAGAAATCAAATGATGTTCAAACTACGATGTAGTATCGGTTTACGAAGACTTTGGCTGTCGGTCTAAGGTGCATTGAGTTCGTAGTTGTGGTTCTTCCAGATAGCGAAAGGCCTTCAGTGACATGACTCAAAGTCAATCAAAATAGCACCGATGTGCTGACCCATAATCTGTAGAATCTTGGATATCTTACTTGATATGTTTATCCCCTGATATCTTTCTCATTTATTCAAACGTCTTTTCTGTTCATTCTCACTCTGTACAGTTGCGAAGTGCAACAAATTCAGCCATTGTGTTTTTGTGTTAAATTCGACAATATTCTATCAGCCCAGTATGAAGATTCTGTTACTGAATCGCCAACAGCGGCTGCTGCATTGGTTGTTAAACATTTTCAGGTTAGTAACTGGCCTTCTAATAACACATTCAAGTGACTACGATAAAGCGGAATCCTGGCCAACTTGAAAAGATCTATCATATAGGATGACAGTGATAGATCCGTGCGAAACGTTTCTCATTAGCCCTAATCAACTTATCGGCAAGGACCGTCAGGCACTAACAAGAATGGAATGAACACATTTATAGAACTCAACTATGAAGGCAGCAAATTACCTAATAGCAAGGTAAACTAGCAACAAAAAAACACTCCAGTTATTCACACTCCTGTTTTCATTAACATGCTAGTAAAGATTCTGTGAAGGCACATAGAAATGTAGAACCACAGAAATTTAGACGATATTTTAGAGGAAACTAAAATACACGTGTAACGGGTTGGAAAAGAAAGATGACCAGGAGTAACAAATGTTAGTATGGATTTCTTTTCCACCAAAATACAAGAAAAAAAATAAACAACCAAGCAGAGGAAGCAGTCAACAATTTTTCATTACAGAACACAAAAATTATTAATTAATACCAGTAATAAAACAGCAATGAACAGAAGATACACCAATACTAATGGATGAAAAATTGAGTGAAAAACGCTTTGCGAAACTATTTGAAGCAGTTTACCTATGAAAAAAGTTAAATGCGACTTCCACTTTATTATGAAATATTAATGCAGCCAAGAATCAAAACCTAGTGGTTCTAAACAGGAATTCTATCCCACCTTTAGTTCCCTACAAAATTCATGAAGCGTTGGAATCAAAAAACCTTAAACTTCAAAAAGGATATTCTTACTCCGGAACCATTGCGTGTGATTTGCACAATTGACATTTTTTAATTTAGTATAATAGCTTAGAATTACTCTGAACTGTTGTACGCACTCCTGGCATCACACAACCCTTCGTGAAACTATTTCCTATTAAGACGTGAAACAGACAAAAAAAATTATAGCATCACACGAAGTACAGGTGAATCGAAAAAGATTGACATCACCGTAGAAAACTATGTGTGGGAGAAGAAATAATTTGAAGACAAAGGTTCGTGAAAATATTCAGGCTATAAACGTCAAAGAATGAAAACAACTGTGATATTGCGATCGATTTTAAGCCATGTCAACAACCATCTCCAACTCTACATTCTTATCATTTCGAGGAACCCAGCCAGTCAGTCTGCTCCTCTTCATATGGCTTAGATAAACACATAAAGATTTCATCGACCGGCACCATCACATGACCCGGTCACTCTGATCTCTCAGCCAACCGAATCCAACTTACCCCAACATTGCACTTAGAGGTAGGTGGTAACTCGGCAAATGCAATACATGTCTAAGTCACCTCAATCACTGAAAGTTCACCGCCTCATCGACTGACTTTCTTATTACTTCTCGCCTAACCTTGATATTCCTCACACGCTGTCGTGATTCCACTAACCAGCTAAGATTTTCGTTCAGCTGGCCATTCTGTAGTTTTGCCAGAAAAAAATCTGTTAAGAGTGGGCCAAGAGGTGACTCCATAGTTACGCCATTAGACTGCCTGTAGAGTTCATTATTGAAAAGGAACTGTGCATTCACCGTACACTTCAGAACTATTGACCGGCTAGAGTTATATTGTCGTTACATGGGTGATACTTTATAGTTCTCAAAAGTGAGATTGATAAGAATGCTGTTCCTAATAAGTTCAATAGTGTTCATCCGGCAATCAACTTTATAATGGAAGAGGAGAAAAATGACAGTATAGCATTTCTTGATGTTTTGCTGGTAAGGTTAGATGGGACTTTGAAACAAAGTGTATACAAAAAGCCAACATTGACAGGTCAATACACGCACTTTTTCAGTGCCGTACCCCTCCAATACAAAAGTGACCCGGTGAAATGCCTAGTTTACCGCACCACAGCTATTTGCTCAGATGATGCTATAGAGGAAGAGTTCACCACCGTCCGTGACCTGCTTAGTAGGAATTGCTATCCAGCGAAGTTTGTAACTAACCATATGAATTTTACGGACGTTAAGACAAGAACGCCAACAGTTCCTAATCCTAAGAAGCAAACATTCTTGAAGCTGAAATTTCAGAGTGACAGCCAGTGAGATCATCACGCAATGCATATGAAGAGCCCTGCAAAAAGCATTCCCAGTCTCCAAATTATGTCCCATCTTCTACAACAATGCGATTCTAGGTGCAAGAAATATAGACGAACTGTCTGATTCCGCAACTTTTATGTGCATTTATCAATCCAACTGCTCCTGGGGACTTAGCTACACTGAGCGTACAATGAGCCAGGTCCATCGTCGAATTTGTGAGCAGCGTCCACCATGGTTGAGCAAGGGACGAATTAGAATAATAGAGAGCTCCATACTTGCACACCTAGTTGAAACGAGACATCAAGTGGGTAGTAGAAAAGCTTTCAAAATTATTCATCATATTCTAATTAATCTGCCACATAGATTACGCACTCGCTTACTCCACATAGTAGAGGCAATTGCAATCCACCTTTACAAACTTAACCTTTGTATTCAAAAGCAGTTTTTCCGACCACTGTCATTACCGTAGCCCTCAACATGATATAACTTCTAGTATTACTTTGTACACCTCTTCCCCTTCTTGTTTCTATCAATATTCATTTGTTTTCTTATTACTATGTAATCACCCATTGTTTATAATTAAACACTCATCAAAAATCACTTCATTTACCTAAAAATAACCTGCTTCATATTTCCAACTTTAATTACTCTACTGATTATTTACATCTTAGCTTCTAAAACATCATCTTTATGACTTACTTAATATCTATAACTATTGTTCACCAACCTCCCACCACTTGATTAGTATTTTTATTGATTTGTAAAACTATATTAGTGTAGAGCCCAAGATGAAGACCTAATAGAAAAGGAATATATTTCTCCGCTTAATCAGTCCTTTTTCTAAATGTGTTGCAGTCGGTAAAATATTGTCATTCCTGTGTGGCATTCCAGCTGTTAATAAGCTGAATGGGTGTTCGATTCTGCTGAAAATCAATACACAGTTACCCAGATACTTAATAGTATATCATTTAGTCATTCCTACCTTCATTAAATTTACTTTAAATCACTTGTCTGATTGAAACATGTGAAGTTTTTTCAAACAATTTACACAATACATGGATGGAAATTTCTATCATCTTAATATTTATAAAACAAGAAAATAATCATAATGTAGCATAAATCGAGGATTTCCCAAAATTCATATACAATTTGTTTAACATCCCATTTAAAGATGTTATTGTTAAGCTTTACGAACCGAATAAGTTAGTTTTAAGATAACGCTGGATGACACCAATTAACATTTTAAATAACACAGATTTATTAAGGATTGCAGATATCTTTTTCATAAGTAATAGAAACAAAATAGAGATCCACTCCTTATTATTAATGGTTATCTTTGAAAACTTAACACTAAATACAATGAACGAAATTGTGATATAACTTAGCTCAGTAATTACATTATTTTTCAATCCATAGAATTTTATTTATGCTAAGGCATTACCCACAACATCATCATCTAGTGATGAATAAGTGTAAGAGCTCAAGATTGTTGAGAATTTCAGGTTAATATTGCAAAGAAGTTTAAGAGTCAAGTGTCTCAAAGAAGTCTAAGCATATGAGAATTATATCAGTTTATGCCTTGCCTTATAAGAAGTTTAAGACTGCAATATTGATGACAATTTTAAAATAATTAAAACAAATAATTAAGTTTTCATCTATGTGATAAAACATTTTTATGAAACAACCAATCATAATACAAATACAATGAACAAAATTTGCGGTATCTGTGGTCAACTGTAATATAACGATTAAATTTGTATTCAGGTCAGTATTCACTATCGGCTGACATCAGTTGGAAGCTTAAAAGCACTGGACAGCTGTTTCGTCTTAGTGTGGAAATCCTCAACACCGTACACCCATGAACCTGCGAGGCCTAGAACCGAGAACCTTTCGGTTCCACTGTCACCACTTTAACATTGGGTCGGAATCCAACCTCCCATACTTCTTCCTTCTATCAGTTCACGATGTAGGACAACCTTCACTTAATACAGTTGTTGAGTAACTGTCCTCATGTCCGACTTGGTTGGCCCCACCGGTCATGGTTTCCCATTGGAACTTCTAGAACCACTCTGGAGTGGTCATATATGAGCAGAACTGAGGAGTCCCATACTAGGATGAAACAGCTGTCCAGTGTTCCCAAGTTCCCAGTGCTTCTCCAACTGATGTCTGTCCATGATGAATACCAACCTGAAGTTAATAAATAAACCCGCAAACTTCCAAATTAAATTTATATTTTCAAAAAGCATGAAATCAACTGTACATGAGTTCATCATCATATACGTAACTAAGCTGATGGTCTATTCCTATGACTAGTGTTCGAATTCAACGGAAGCGGGGAAAAGAGACTAAATAATGTGGTACTGAGGATAAACTCTACTTGGATTTGCGTGTTTGTAAATAATCAGAAGTTCAAAGTTTATATTTCAAGTCTATGGATGTTAGTTGGCCATTCTGGCCAAACACGTTAACGATGATTATATCAGTCAAGCGACACATAGAGTTCACCTTCGTATAATTAACACAAATAAGTGAAATTTGTTTTTATACTAACACAAACAGCTCGTTAATCTTCTATAATAATAATAACCTAACTTACATTTCCCTGTACTGATCAAACGCTGTATTGATTTCAATCTCTCGTTTACGAAGTCCTTCACTAGGCATAGCTCCATCTTCTAGGGGAGGATCATAGGTATTTGACCATGGTGATCGGTAAGAATCACCGTCTCTATTATAATCACAGAGTAAATAATCTCGACCCGCGTGTACATCCCTTGCGATTCTTAGAGGCTGATCCACCGAACTTAATATATCCTCACAATGTTCCGGTGTAAGCGAAATGATGTCCATTAAAGTATGATCAATCTTTTGAGGTGGCAGACGGCGCATCAAATCCATAACACAAGTAAGAGGGTTGTTCTAAAACAAATCAAAATAGTTAGGATAGACAGGCAGAAAGCAACTGAATAGGTGAATATTTTCAGTGGAATAACGGAAACGCTAAATCTCACAACTTAAAAAAACGATCACTTACTCATGGGATTATAATTAGCGTGAGTAAAAGTGCCAAAGATAGAGGAGCTTGTCGTCCGGTGTAATCAATCAAACGATGGCATGGAGACTGACCGCTTAATTGTTTTACACAGACATTCAGAGAAGATTTTTCTTCCTATGACTTATTTTCAGCAGCAACAAAATCACATTTATACCAAAAATTAAAACAACCCATGATTCAAATATAGCATGAAAGGTAAACATTAGGTCATCAAAAGAGAATGTCTAACACAGTTAACATTCACTAGAAGAGAATCTATTTGCCAACCGTAACTCACCTCCAACTTCTTCATACAACAAGCTGCGCATTCACTGAATACCGCTGAAGCGGATAACAATAGGGCATTTCTACAAACTCTTTTTTCATAAAACTACCGATGAGTCTAAAACAAGTACACACAATAGAGAACCTACCACATAAGTGCATAAGTTCATGTTACCACACTTCATAGCAAAATACAAAGTGCAAGTGGCTACAAAATGACTGATATCAAAGTTGACAAAATGTATGGGAGGAGAAACAATTTGAACATAAAGGCCGGTGAGAGTACTCAAACCTTAGAAGACGTCAAAGAGTGAAAACAACTGTGACATTGCGATCGATTTTAAGCCATGTCAACAACCATCTCCAACCATACATTCTTATCATTTCGAGGAACCCAACCAGTCAGTCTACATCTGCCCACATGGCTCAGACCAACATAGAGATTCCATCGACTGGCATCACGACTTGTTCTGGCCTTCCTGAGCCCTCTTCCAACCAAATCCAACTTACCCCACCATTACACTTCCAAGTAGGCTGTGGCTCGGCATGTGCAACACATGTCCAAGTCATCTCAATTGCCGAAGGTTTACCACCTCATCGACGAACTTGCCTTCCTTGCCTAGTACTTCTCACCTAACCTTGACAGTGCTCACACGGTGGTGTGGTTCCATCAAACGCAAGCAATGTTATAAAGACACCTCTGTTCGAAAATCTATGGTCTCCCTATTTATTCTAATTTTAACGGCTATGTCAGGCAGACATATAGCTCGACGGAACAGTCTGCAGCGCAACGTACTCGTGCTTTAGTAGGTAGTCGGACATCATGCTAATCGGCGCCGGATGACGCAAGTTGGCAAACACTAAACGAGCATTCTGAATCTCAGCTGACATTTCGTCAGCAACCAACCCGTTCGGGCTGATGCAACTCCCCAAGTGGGTGGAATGGTTGACCCATTCAACCACTTCACTGCCCATTCTTAAAATAAGAATAGCTGTAGACCAGTCCAGATATACCATCCCACATTTGACACGTGCGAAACGCATGCCCAAAATAGACAGGTTTCTGCTCGATGCGCTCAGAAGACCCTTCATTTTGTCAGCGTCATTACGTAGGAGAACAATGTTTTCTGTTTACCCGAAGTCATCCGCATTCCCTCCTCGAAGTAGACCAATCTCTGTGAAGTCGGAGGAATCTAAGGTTATGTTCATTAATACACCTATAATGAAGTCAAACAGGAAGGGTAGCAGTGTGCATTCCTGGCGAACACCACTACTTGTCATGTAAATTGATGAGTGCGAGTAAAGAGCTTTGACTAGCGTTATATACTTGCTCCCCCGATAGAAACCTACATTGAGGTGGTAGTTAGGCTAGTTTATCATAATGACGCAACGAGCTATTCTGGTGAACGCTTGCCCCTTCGAGGTTCGATCATGCCATAAAGGTCTTTTGGATAGTGTTCGACGATAAACAGTTACCGTTGTCGCGAAAATTACAATAATATGATGAGGGTGGGAGGGTGACGTCATACTGCTGCTAGATCGACGAGGTATGGCAAAATTAAGATGCTTCCCTTGAATAAACGGCAGTCATACACTAAGCCTGTCCTCCTAATGCGGAAGGAGGGTAAGAAGAAGCGGACACAAAAAATAACATCCCACACGATCGTGGCACGCCAAAGTTTTCAAATGCTGTTCACGGTCGGATTCAAAAGCAAAACACCTATATCTAAAACTTCCAAAAAGCAGTGTGTGACAGGTCTCAAGCAGATGTCTCTTGAGCTCCGCAGTCACATACTATCCCTTCTTTTTCAGGTACATCAAGAACTGGCTTTCCACGGTTTCAGCAACCAGGAAGTGTCAATCGCTCCCATGCTTCCAGTAGTACACAAGACCCAATCAAACAGAACACATCCCCTTCAACTCTGTCTCCTCATTTGCTTTCACCTAATATTGATATTTAACCCCTTACACCTTTCTCAACCTCTCATTCTGTAGCGATCGAAGCCATCAATTTAATGTAGGAGCTTTAAACGTCCAAATTCTGTGCCAAATCGAACAGAAAGCATCACTTGCCTGAACTCTGAAATCTGTACCCGTGGATGTATGCTGGGTCTCCGTGACACGTGTGCAGGACTCGAATGTGGTTATTAAATTGACCTCACCTAGCCATAGGGGTGAATCTTCAAAATTCACCTTGAATATCCGGAAACCTAGTGGCTAGCTCTCGTGGACTCGCTAGTGTAGGCCTAGCATTGAACTGTGAGGTAGAAAGTGCGCTCCTCAACTGGATACCGTTAAACAGCCGTCTGTGTACTATTTGACTGAATGAATCTGTAAGAACTAGGAAGGATTGCAAGACCAGTCGATGCCTATTCGTCATTTCCACCGACCTCAGTTCGGATGATGCAAAGGATAAATTCTATGCGAAGCTATCATTTTTTCTACGGAAAGCAGAACGATCAGATCCAGTTATAATTGCAGGTGGTGTTAACGCTCAAGTACGGAACCTAAGCCAATCGGAAAGGCATCTTGAGGACATTTACGAACGAACACGGGTGATCGTCTGTGGCTACTTCGTTCTGACGACCACTTGTTTCTGACCAGCACTGACTTTGAGCGAAAAGAGAGACAGTTCCACATAGTGTCCACCGACATCAAACCAAATATGGACACAGATAGATCACATTGTTGTAAGGCATCATTGGAGAGGGTCAATGGAGGATTGCCGCTCTTTCTGGAGTACCTGTTTAGGCTATGATCACGCGTTAGCACAGGTTTGTGTATATCTGCACTTTACAGGCCACAGGAAAAAGGCGATGGTAAAGCCGGATTGTTCTTGATTGGCAGACGAGAACGCCAAACACGTATTTAGGGAAGAGGTAGCTAAGCACTTATCCGAACGTGACAACAATGCTCATCCGGTGGAAACCTAGCGTGATATTAGATCCGCTGTAGAACGAGTGGTAAACAGTTGGTAACCTACATCCGAAGGTTAGCAAACGTAATTGGATTTCCGCAACGTCATCCGAACTGGTTGATGCTAGAAGACTTATTCCAGCTAGCTTTGATCACGGTGAAGAACGAAAGCAACTTAAACGTAAATTGACCAAGAGTCTTCGCAATGATCGCGAGTAGTGGTGGGTAACGAGAAGGAGAGCGATGGAGATGACAGCAAGTATTTAGACTTATTAAAGATACTGGTAAGAAGAAGACGACGTTGAGTGAAACCATTACCTATAAGGATGGGACGCTGATAACGACTCATAACAGGTGGCTGGAACATTGGGCAGAACACCGAAGCACAGTGCAAGTGACCTACAGCATAACTACAGTTGCCCAACATCCAGCCTAAACCTGAATGGGACGTAGAAGTCGACCCCCCAACTCTCATTGAAGTTGAGAAAGCTGTATCGAACCTGAAACAATGTAAAGCAGTAGGACCCGACAGTCCATGTGAAGCTTTCAATGATGGAGGTAGGAAACTACTGATTAAACTGACGGAGGTATTAAGTAGTAGTGTATGGGAATCAGAGGTAGTGCTGTCAAACTGGTCTACTTCATCAGTCTAGTGTACTTCCCTGATCGTCCCAGTCTATTATAAGGGAGAGAAGTCTTCCTGGGACAACCAGAGGGGGCTTGGTTTGACAAATATTGTATCCATGACCCAAGTGGTCCGACGCGTAGGTCGAGCTCAGTAAGACGGGACAGGTTTCAAAACTGGTCGAGGGTGTATCAATCAGTTTTTCACACGCCGACAGGTCGTGCGAGATAGGCATACTTACTGGTGGCCAACACTTGCCATATTTCTCCAACTGAAGACGTCATTCCACCTTTAGACGTTTAAGCAGTCGGACCGTGAAGGAACTACCAAGGAAGTATATAACTCTAATGAAAGCTCTACTCAACCTCACACAGAGGTGTTAGGGTTTATGGAAAGTTGTCATGTGAATTGATGGCAACTAGTGCTGTTTGCCAGGGATGTCCACTTGCTTTTCTTATTTAACTTCGTCGTGTAATAATGGACGTAACCTTAGGTACGCCTAACTTCATAAGGATTGACCTACTCTTTGGAGGTCATATGTTTGACTCGAAGTATGCAGACGATATTCTCGTACTATGCGGATATGCTGACAAAATGCAGGGTCTTCTGGATGCGTTGAGCAAAAATCTGAGAACGTTTGGCGTGCGTTTCGCACCTGTTAAATGTAAGATGATGCTCCAGGACTGGTCTGCTGCAAGTACTTCCAGTTTAATGATGGGGAGTGAAGTAGTGGAATGTGTCCGACCACTTTACTTACTCGGAGAGTTGCATCACCCCGAATGGGATGGTTGCTGACGAAATCTCAGCTTCGTCAACTGAGATGGCTTGGACATGTACTACGCATGCCACCTACCTCAACTTGTCACGCCAGGGAATGTTTGTTTAGGTTGGAAGACGGCCAGGGTGTCCGTACCAACGCTTGGCACTAGATGATATAGTCTATGACTGCTAGTCAGCCTTGTGTAGCGGTGTAGACTACCTGGCTGGGGTCGTCGAGATGATAGGAATGAGTGTTTGAAGGTGCTTGGTGATATGATTGAAAATCGATCACAATGGCAC